AAAAGGTGTCAGACTCAAAACATTTCAGAAACCGTATGTATCAAATATGATAAGTTTGGCATTATAGGGTTAAGTAATTTCTGGATATATGAAGAGATTGCTTAAAGTTCAAGAAAAGGTTTCCAACTCTGTTGCAACAAGTCTGGTTTATCTCTTTATCATAAGCCTGAATGAGTCATGCATCACCCAAAATAAAAAAATTAAAATAATTTGCCTGAAAATGGGTATGAAATGTTGATATGTCCATAAAATACATTTTATCCCAGCGCTGCGTGTCCCCTGCCCATAACCTCATCGATGACCCCTCACATCCCCACCATGGACTGCTCTCCCTCCTTCCCTCTGGGAAGAGGCTTCAACGCATCCAATGCAGGTCCAGCAGATTCCGAAACAGCTTTTTCCTCCCCGCCATCAGACACCTGAACTGTTGAGAAAACTCTTAATCATGTCACTGACTCTGCATCACACTGATAACACCAAACCAAAATATATTTGCACCATACACATCTTAATGCTCTGAACTTCCATATCAATGCGCTTTTTGCACCATGTTTTTTTCTCCCACACAAACCAAACAACCCTTTGATCCCTGCTGCACTTTAAGAAATGGAAATGTTATGAAAGCTGTAGAACATAAAATGTCCTTTTGTCTACACCCTGTGTATACAAAATGACAAAAAAAAGTTGACTAAGTTCTAAACAAAAAATAACGAAACAGATCATTTTCTCTGTCTAATTAAAAATTACAGTATAAAGAAATGATGCATTTGCTGGGACGTGCTGAAGCAGCTGAACGCATCTAAAAGAAACTCTCTTTGTAGGGAATATAATTTTTTTTATGAGACTGAAGAAAAGGGCAGAATCATCAAACAATAATCAAATTACCAGTTCATAGTTCTGCCCTCAGCGTTGGCTGCAATCATGACCACTGCCTTTAGTTTTAATGTTGTTAGGCTGGTTTCCCTGGCTCCCAATTTACAGACACAAAGTACCGGTAGGCTTCATCCCTAATTTCAACAAATTAGCTCCCTCCACCCCCCCAACAGCAAACAAACAATAATGAGTGAATCCACTTTGCTCTCTGGGCGCAGCCTTCATAAACTGATTTGCACTTTTAGCTGTATTGATTAGGAATAAACATCGTTTTACCTTGTTGTACATTGAATCTCTCTAACTGCACTAAACAATATTAGGAAACAGAAAATAAATTGAGAAAAAAAATGTGTTGCCTATTATACAGTTACTATATAATGTAATAAATGTATGCTGTTTTTATGTTAGTGAGTGAAGATAATTAAATAATGTTTTCTTATATGCACTTTTTTAAAGTTTCATTTAAAAAAGTGCTTTTTTTAACATTCATTTATAAATTGTAATAAGGTCCATCATAACATTTTTTTGACTCCCAGAGCAAAATATCACCCTTTGTCCTCTGGGTTTAATTAAGGCTTCTCTGAGTAAAAACATTGATTGAGAAATATTCCAAGCTTTAATATGAAGCTTAAAGGCAAATTATTTGCTAGAACTGGACAGACTCAGTTCCTGGAATCACTGGAAGAAATTGATTTGAGCATATTCATGCTACACTGAGGATGACACCCATTTTCTATCAAGTGTATATTTGCAATAATAAATAAAACAGCAGCTGAAATCAGGCCAATAACCTGTTTAAACTGAACTCTCAGGGTGACAGAATAAAGGCTCATATTTAAACATCAGACACTGATTCATGTTTGTTTGATGCAATAATTTTATCAAAAGCCTTATTAAAAATGGTTTGGCAAAGTCATGCCAAGTGGCCCTGAAAATGAGGAATCTTCACAGAATATCATCCACAGCTCTAACATGTTTATTACTTAAATAATCACATTTTATCCCAAATGCCCACCTGAATACAATATAATTTCTTCACTTGATAGTGTTGTTTTAAATTACAGAGTACTACTAGACACCAAAGGCACATGTGAACTTTCTATCACAGTTCAAATAGATTTAAATACAAATGTGACAAAAATACATTACACCTTATTTTAGATTATCTTTACAGCGTTAGTCACAGTCAAACAACCATCTGAAAGCATGCCCGGACTGCTACAAATTGATTTTTAGCAAAAATATACATCCTGTATCTAGAAAACTGAACTGCAGATATCATAAAAATTATCTCTAAAAAAACTTAACAGGCATAAATAATTTATCTGTTTTTGATTTGTACAAAAACCTGCAAGGTACAAACTAACAGTCCTTCACGATCTCATACTGGCGTATTTCATTAGAGCCCAGCATCTATGAAACAGTGTTAAAAAAGTAACTGTATAATAATAATGCAAATTCTTTCTTGTTAATCTCAGTCCTTTGCTTATGGGAGAGGGATTGAAATTAAAGAGAAGAAGGTGGTAGAGCATCAAGACTATCCTTGTTGGCCTCCAGGAACTGACTGCAGGCAGTAAAAGTATTGTAGAAGCTTGAGGAAAGGCCAGCCACGTCTGTGGCGAAGT